TCTTAAAAATCTCCAGTGATGGAGCACCCACCATTTCTGGTGACAAGCTGTTCCACTGCTTAACTGTCCTCACTGTTAGGAACTTTCTCCTTAATTCCAGGTTGCTTCTCTCTTTGGTCTGTTTCCAACCACTGTTTCTTGTCCTGCCCTCTGGTGCTTTGGAGAATAATTTGAATAACAAGAATAATAAGAGGGGTCTTCTAGTCCAATCCCCTACTGAAGCAGGAGACTCTGTACCATTTTAGACAAATGGTTGTCAAATCTCTTCTTAAAAACCTCCAGTGTATGTATGTATGTATGTATGTATGCATGTATGTATGGATGTAGGTATGTATGTGTATATATATATATATTTGTTTTCTGAGGTTTTTGCGGGTGTTTGTATGTAGGTCTTTGGTTATTCGGGTTTTCTCCCGCGTAAAATTGGAAGTGTCTTGGCGACATTTCGACGAAGTCCCATTCGTCATGTTCAGGCTGGTGTTTTCAGCTTCGTGCTTCGAGGAGCAATGTGTGGTCTTAGCTGTTTCTTCCTTTTAACTGCCAGTGGGGGTATGAACTGATTGGGTGGGAGCTTGGCTGTGTTCTGATTGGGTGGAGGTGTGTTCTGATTGGTTAGGGGCGTGGCTGTGCTCTGATTGGCTGGGGGTTTGGCTGTGCTCTGATTGGCTAGGGGTTTGGCTGTGCTCTGATTGGCTGGGGGAGTGTTCGTTTGGTTGTGCTCAGGTTAGTCTGAGTTGCAGGGAGGTTTAAGATTTTGGGCTGCCTTGCTATTTTTTGGCTTTGTGTTCGTGGTTGTGCCTCATCTTCATGGAGGGTGTCAGTTTGCTTCATGTATGGATTGGAGGGGTTTAAAGTGGCTAATGATGCAGCTGTAGTCTGGCTTCTGGTTTGTGGTCGTGCCTCATCATCGGTGTGGCTTTGGGTTTGCTTTTTGCGTGGATATGTGATGGTGACATCCTGTGTGGTTTTTGTGAGTGTGGGTCTGGTATCATTTTTTGTGTTAGAGAGTCGTTTGTCAATAAGGGCGGGTTTCCAAATGGCTGGTAGGCGGGAGGTATCATCTCGCTTGTTCATGCTGTGTGGGCACATATATATATGTAGGTCTTTGGTTATTCGGGTTTTCTCCCACGTAAAATTGGAAGTGTCTTGGCGACGTTTCAACGAAGTCCCATTCGTCATCTTCAGGCTGGTGTTTTCAGCTTCGTGCTTTGAGGAGTAATGTGTGGTCTTAGCTGTTTCTTCCTTTTAACTAAGACCACACATTGCTCCTCAAAGCACGAAGCTGAAAACACCAGCCTGAAGATGACGAATGGGACTTCGTCGAAACGTCTCCAAGACACTTCCAATTTTACGTGGGAGAAAACCCGAATAACCAAAGACCTACATACAAACACCCGCAAAAACCTCAGAATATATATATATATATATATATATATATATATATATATATATATATATATATATGTGTGTGTGTGTGTGTGTGTGTGTGTGTGTGTGTGTGTGTGTGTGTGTATGTATGTATAGTATGTATGTACATGTAGTCCTCAACTTACAACAGTTCAGTCAGTGACCGTTCAAAATTATAACGGCACTGAAAAAAAGTGACATTTTTTTCACATTTACGACCATTGCAGCATCCCCACAGTCACGTGATCAAAATTCAGGCACTTAGCAACTGACTCATATTTATGACGGTTGCAGTGTCCCAGGGTCACATGATCCCCTTTTGCGACCTTCTGACAAGCAAAGTCAATGGCGGGGGGAAGCCAGATTCACTTAACAACCATGTGACTAACTTAAACAACTGTAGCGATTCGCTTAACAACGGTAGCAAGAAAGGCGATAAAATGGGGCAAAATTGACTTAACCAAAGTCCCGCTTAACGATAGAAATTTTGGGCTCAATTGCAGTCGTAAGGTGAGGACTGCCTGTATAAATATATTGTTTCCCCAACAAACCTAAACATCCTGTGCTGAAACAGCAACCTTTGTGTAATGCTCAAGTGACTAACAAGCAGGAAACAACTGCCACGATTGTAGAGGATCTGATAATTGAATTCACCAAGGATAACGATGTTGACCCCATCTGGAATTAAACCAGGCGTTCAGCTTGTAAGGGCTGCTTGCATTAATTCTAATTGCCCAGATTTGGCAATTCGACATGGTACCGCTGAGAGGATAAAGAACAGGTAACTAATGAGTACTATCTGCTATAAATTAGTTGATGTAAGATGTTGAGAAATAGAATATACTCAAGACGTGTATCCTGAACATTAGATCTCGTGATGAACTGTGATAACGGGAACTGGGGTTATTTAAAACTTGGAAATTATAAATATTATGTTAAATTTAAATATTCATGGGAAACTAAAAATTGGGAAAAACTAATTAGGACATTTATTGTCTATAAAGATTGAATGTTAAAATAACTAGGATATGTATAAGCCAGGGGTAGACAACCTTGGCTCTTTTATGACTCGTGGACTTCAACTCCCAGAATTCCTGAGCCAGCCATGCTGAGGGGAAAGGGAGAGGTTTCCAAGCTGAGCCATGCTGGCTCAGGAATTCTGGGAGTTGAAGTCCGCAAGTCATGAAGAGGCCATAGTTCCCCCATGCTGGCTCAGGAATTCTGGGAGTTGAAGTCCACGAGTCATGAAGGGGCCATAGTTCCCCCATGCTGGCTCAGGAATTTTGGGAGTTGAAGTCCACGAGTCATGAAGGGACCATAGTTCCCCCATGCTGGCTCTGGAATTCTGGGAGTTGAAGTCCACAAATCATGAAGGGATCAAAGTTTTCCCCATGCTGGCTCGGGAATTCTGGGAGTTGAAGTCTACGAGTCATAAAAGGGCCAAGGTTGCCTACCCCTGATATAAGCTAAAAATTATTGATAAATGTAAGAAAGGTATTTTTATTTAATTGATATAACAAGAATTGTATTAGTTTAAATGTGAGACAGTAAATACTAAGGGGAAAAGAGAGGAAATATTTAATGTAATAGTTTGAGATCTCTACTAAAGATACTTGTATGTTATTGAATGATCGGTTAACTCAACCGCCATGTTGCTTTTTAAATATTCAAATGTAAAATAAGAAAATCAATAAACTTTTCTTTAAAAAAAAAAAGAGTACTATCTGCTTGTTTTTACTAGCAACCTTAGGGAAGAAAAGGGATACGGGCAGTCCTTGACTTACAGCCACAACAGATTCCAAAATTTTGGTTCCTAAGTGAGACACTGGTTAAGTGAATTTTGCCCCATTTTGCAATCTTTCTGGCCACAGGTGTCAAGGGAACCATTGAAGCTGTTAAGTTAGGTACACGGTTAAGGGAACCCGGCTTCCCCCGTTGATTTTTCTTGTCAGACGTTGGCTGGAAAGGTTGCAAATGGCGATCACAGGAGCCTGGGATACTGCAAATAAATGCATGCTGGTTGCCCAAATTTTAATCACGTGACTCTGGGGATGGTCTGACGGTTTTAAGTCTGAGGACCAGTTGCAAGCTATTTTTTGCAGTCCGTCATAACTTCAAAAGGCGAATAGAATAGAATAGAATAGAATTTAGGAATAGAATTTAGGAATAGAATAGTACAGAATTTAGGAATAGAATAGAATAAAATAAATAGAATAGAATAGAATTTAGGAATAGAATAGAACAGAATTTAGGAATAGAATTTAGGAATAGAATAGAATAAAATAAATAGAATAGAATGGAATAGAATTTATGAATAGAATAGAATAAAATAGAATTTAGGAATAGAACAGAACAAAACAGAACAGAACAGAATAGAATAGAATAGAACATGATAGAATAGATTAGAATAGAATTTAGGAATAGAATAGAGTGGAATGGAATGGAATAGAATAGAATAGAATTTAGGAATAGAATAGAATAGAATAGAATAGAATTTAGGAATAGAATAGAGTGGAGTGGAGTGGAGTGGAATGGAATGGAATAGAATAGAATAGAATTTAGGAATAGAATAGAATAGAATAGAATAGAATAGAATAGAATAGAATAGAATTTAGGAATAGAGTGGAGTGGAGTGGAGTGGAGTGGAATGGAATGGAATGGAATAGAATAGAATTTAGGAATAGAATAGAATAGAATAGAATTTAGGAATAGAATAGAATAGAATAGAATTTAGGAATAGAATAGAATAGAATAGAATAGAATTTAGGAATAGAATAGAGTGGAGTGGAGTGGAGTGGAATGGAATGGAATAGAATAGAATAGAATTTAGGAATAGAATAGAATAGAATAGAATAGAATAGAATAGAATAGAATTTAGGAATAGAGTGGAGTGGAGTGGAGTGGAGTGGAATGGAATGGAATGGAATAGAATAGAATTTAGGAATAGAATAGAATAGAATAGAATTTAGGAATAGAATAGAATAGAATAGAATAGAATTTAGGAATAGAATAGAGTGGAGTGGAGTGGAATGGAATGGAAGGAATGGAATGGAAGGAATGGAATGGAATGGAATAGAATAGAATAGAAAGTAGACTAGGCTAGATTAGGCTAGAGAATAGAATGGAACGGAACAAAACAGAACAGAATAGGAATAGAGCTGGAAGGGACTTTGGAGGTCTTCTATTCCAGCCCCCTGCTCAAGCAGGAAAACCTATACCATCTCAGACAGGTTGCTTCTCTCTTTGGTCAGTTTCCAACCATTGTTTTTTTGTCCTGCCCTCTGGTGCTTTGGAGAATAGCTTGACTCCCTCTTCTTTGTGGCAGCCCCTCAAATACTGGAACACCGCTATCATGTCGCCCATGTTTTTTCTTTTCTTTAGACTAGCTGAACCCAAGTCCCATTAAATGAATGGTTGTAAGTTGTAAGTCAAGGACTATCTGTAATTGTAATCTTTACGTTCTCAAATTAGACACCACGGTCTCCTTCTTCCCATCAGCAAATCTTTTTAATCACCTTCCAGAGAGATTACTCCGAGTTGAAATGAAGGCGGGTTCACATGGAAAACACACAGGATTGACAAAAATTGGATACCTGGCGCCATCACAGCGGGTTCAGGAACAGTGACGGTCGGAAACTCTGCAGATCTGTTCTCGGTATCTTCCCTTCTAGTTTTGACGGCAGTGCAGAAAACCATTCTAAGAAAGAAAAGCGATGTATCTTAGATCCTCGGAAAGCCGAACAATTAAACTCAGCGGTCTGTTTGCAAGCAAATGAAACACACAATTAACCAATTAATTAGGAGGAGAAATAGCAGGCTGAAATCTAGACGGGACTAGAACTCACGTCTCCTGGTGATTGACTGAAAGCCACTCAGCCAGCTTTTATGCTAAGGTGGGACTAGAACTCACCAGCTCCTGGTGATTGGTCCAAAGTTACCCAGCCAGCTTTGATATCTAAAGTAGGACTAGAACTCACTGTCTCCTGGTGACTGGACTAAAGTCACCCAGTTGGCTTTCATGCCTAAGGTGGGACTAGAACTCACTGTCTCCTGGTGATTGGCCGAAAGCCACTCAGCCAGCATTCACAGGCCAGGCAAGACTAAAGCTGCTTTCTACTTGGTGCTTTAACTACTAAACCCAATAGATACTAAGAGATAAGTGGGAGGTACAAAGGAGATGGGCGGTTAAGAAATATCAGTTACAAATAAAGAAATAAAATAAATTCTTGTTGCCAGCACCAGGGTGCAGGGCAAAATGCTCTCTGGAGGTATACATTTTCCCAATGGCTGTTCATATTTTCCACCACACTTTTTGCCCTCCTATTTATCCATTTCTCTCTCAGGGAGAAGAGAACAAAACCACCAGGCACAGAATATAGGTAGTCTTGAATTTGCAACCACAATGGAGCTATGATGTCTGTTGCTAGGTGAGATATTTGGTAAGTGAGTTTTGCTCCATTTTACAGCCTTTTGTTCTATCCCAGCCTTGTGTTAAAGGCACAAGGACCAAACCCCTGTGATACAATAGGCTGGAGACTTTAAAACAAAACAAACCCCTTTTAATATGGGTGACAAACCTGTCAAATAGTCCAAAACACAAACAGCAAAACTCAAATCCAAAGGAAGGAAATAATCCACAGGAAACACGATGCAAACAGAAGAGTAGTCACAAGCAAGCCTTCAGCAACCAGCACCGCCCACACCTCCTCTTTTTATACAGCAGTCCCAAGGCATTGCCTCTCATTGCCTTCTCCTTTTACTCTGGAGTTGCTGTATTGACTGCTGCTGATTTACTCTTGGTAATTGATGATGTGTGCGAGCATCAATTAGCAAGTCCATCAGGTGTGAGTCCTCCGAGTCTGACTCATTCTCCTCACACAGCTGAGCTTCATCAGGAACACAACTGGAGGGCCCAGGCTCTGCATCAAACCGTGAGTCCTGTAATTCATCAGAGCCTCCCTCTGCCCCTGATGGCCCTTCCAATGCCTCCTCCACCTCCTCCTGAGACTCAACTGTTGGGAGCACAGGCTGGCACGGAATCACAACACCTTTCTCGTCACAGTGGTTAAGTGAAGCACTGTGGTTGTTAAGTTAGACACATGGCTGTTAAGCGAATCGGGCTTCCCCCATTGACTTTGCTTGTCAGAAGGTCGCAAAAGGGGATCATGTGACCCGGGGACACTGCGACCGTCATAAACATGAGTCAATTGCCAAGCACTTGTATTTTGAGCATGTGATCGTGGGGACGGTACAAAAGTCGGAACTGTGAAAAATGGTCATAAGTCACATTTTTCAGTGCCGTTGCAACTTTGAATATCACTAAATGAACATTTGTAAGTCAGGTACTATCTGTATGAGGTATTACCTCAGAATTGTCAATTGCCACTCAGTCAGGCCTTGATTCTCAACTCCATTGACCGTCCCTTTCATTGTAATAAATACGTTTTCTTCCTAATCCTAACTTGAACCATTTTGTTTTTATTGGTTCTGTAATGTGTGCAAACATTTGTAATTGAATTGTCAGCTTGGGTAAATGCACATAATGGAATTTTCAATGGCGGAAACGTGAACCATGTGTCAAATAAGGCTGCTAAAATGAGGAAGCATTGCTTCCCTGTTTTGCAAGCCTGCAAACGGTTACAGAACATAATATAATAAGCTTTTCATCCGTTACATTACGAGATTGCGTAGCGTGGACTGGTATCAATTAAAAAAAATGTCCTTTAAAAATAATTTCCCTCACTATAAGCATATCCCTAGCTGTTATAATTGGTAAGTTTGTGGACTTCAACTCCCAGAATCCCTCAGCCAGCTTGGCTGGCTGGGGAATTCTGGGAGTTGAAGTCCACAAATTCTAAAGTTGCCAAGTTTGAGATCCCTGTGGTAAATTCTCACAGGTTAAACTGAATAGCATAGCTGGCTGAGGAATTCTGGGAGTTGAAGTCCACAAGTTCTAAAGATGCCAAGTTTGGAGATCTCTGCTTTAGATCAGGCATGTCCAACCTTGGCAACATTAAGACCTGTGGACTTCAACTCCCAGAATTCCACAAGTCTTAAAGGTGCCAAAGGTTGGACGCCCCTGCTTTAGATAATCCACCTGCATACAGGTAGTCCATACAAGGTAGTCGTAACCACAATGGAGCCCAACATTTCTGTTGCTAAGCATGACAGCTGTCAAGTGAATTTGCTCCCATTTTACGACCTTGCTTGCCACAATTCTTAAGTGAATTGCTGAAGTTGTTAAACTGGTAACACCGTTGTTAAGTGAATCTGGCTTCCCCCATTGACTTTGCTTGTCAGAAGGTTGCAAAAGGGGATCACATGACCCCGGGACACTGCGACTGTCATAACTGTGAACCACTTGCGAAGCATCTGAATTTTGTTCATGTGACCAGGGAGATGCTGCAAGAGTCATAAGTGTGAAAAACGGTTGCAGGTCACTTTTTCCAGTGCCATTGTAACTTCAACCGGTCACTAAGCAAATAGCTGTAAGTAAAGGGCTACCTGTACATGGATTTTGCAAGGACAGAGGCCCTGAGATTCAGTGCCATTTTGTAGTATTGATCTGCTTGATTTTTAAGAAGAGATTGGACAACCATTTCTCTGAAATGGTATAGGGCGGGGGTAGGTAACCTTGGCTCTTTTATGATTCGTGGACTTCAACTCCCAGAATTCCTGAGCCAGCCATGCTGAGGGGAAAGGGACAGGTTTCCAAGCTGAGCCATGCTGGCTCAGGAATTCTGGGAGTTGAAGTCCATGAGTCATAAAAGAGCCAAGGTTGCCTACCCCTGGTCTAGGGCAGGGCATTGTCTTTTAGGATAAACAGGAGCCACCAGTCGCCTGTGTGATGATCAAAAAAAAAAAAAAAAAAAAGAAAGAAAAAAAAGAAAAAAAGAAAAGAAAAAAAGAAAAAAGTGATAAAGTACAGGTAGTCCTCGACTTACAACACTTCGCTTAGTGACTGCTTGAAGTTACAATGGCACTGGAAAAAATGCCCCCCAAGCCACAGCCGAGCAAGACACCTGCCTGCCCGCCCGGCGACGTTCTTCCTCCTGTCCGAGGTTTTCATTGTTGTGAGCATTTCTGTTGAGGATTGGCGGCGGGGGTGGGGTGGGGGGTGTTTGGTTTTTATTCCCCCCGTCTGCTGGGTGGTTGCAGCAGGTTTTGGTCACTTCACATGACCCTGGGACACTGTGACCGTCATAAATATGAACCAGTTGCCAAGCATCTAAATGTAAATCACAAGACCCTGGAGATGTTGCAACATTCCAGCTGATTGGCGCTTCTTCTGGGCTCAGCAGAAGCACCAGGATCAGTGCCGAGCTCCAGCTGGAGCCTGGCGCTGATCCTGGCGCTTCCGCTGAGCCCTGACAGCCCTGCAGCTCCAGCCGTCTCTCGCTCAGGCTTGTGCGGTGCTGCGCCAGTTCAGCTCATTCCCCTCCCCCACTACCACTTTTCTAGGAGGGTCGCATACCACCTGCCAGGTGCCAATGTACCACAGCTGGTACCCATACCACTGGTTGAAAAGCCCTGATCTAGGGTCTCCTGCTTGAGCAGGGGGTTGGACTAGAACAGGGGTCTCCAACCTATGAGCCACAGCCCACTACCGGGCCGTGGTCTTTTGGCCAGTGGGCCATGGAAATGGCTGGCTGGTGTACACACGTGTGCGCACGCAATCCCCCCACTCCCACTAGTGCCCGTGGCCCCATTTGCGCATGCATGCGGGCATGAATGGGCTATTAGCACCGGCTGTGCGTGTGCAGCCCATTTGCGCATACCTGAACGGGGCTGATAGCGGCAGGTGGATGCACGGCCTGTTTGGACATGCGCAACCGGGGCCAGTAGTGCCACACCGGTGCACGGGGTGCTGTTTGTGTGCATGCGTGTGCACCAATTTGGAAACCTCTCTCCTTCCCTCCAGGCCATGAGCCTGGAAAGGTTGGAGATCTTTGGACTAGAAGACCTCCAAGGTCCCTTCCAATTTTAGTTTGTTATTCTGTTATTTTGAATAAGCTTGTTTTTTGTGTTAGAAGCCAGCGTTTTTGAAGAGCTGAAATTCATCAGGCTGTACAGGGACTTTCAAAAACAACTCCACATTTTCAATGCACGGTGAATACCGTTTGTAGGACTTTCAGGTGGTGGGGGGGAATCAAATCCACAGGAAACCTGTCAAAAAAACACCACCACCATTTCTTTCCAAAACTGCCCCTGCTGCCTTTAATTTAAATAAGATGTTTTAACAGGCTTTTATGTTCTGGTTGCTTAGCATCCTTCACATCTAGCGTCTTAGGTGGACCTTCATTTTCCCCCCTCCCCCCCCGCCCCAGCTTCATTCCGTGTGTGAGTCACACATGGTGTGTTTAATGAATCATGCAGCCCAATCTACAGATTGCAACATGTCGAAAACACCTCTTGATGTTTGCATGCAGCTCCCGCGAATTTCGGCCTGCTTGCCTCTCCTCGGGGTGCGAGGCTGGCGGCATCACCGCTGGGCCCCCTGATTAATTCTGAATTATTTTAGCTTCATCCGTTCGAAGTGCCAAATCAGACAGAGCAGTCCACAATGGCCAGGCATATTTAATCACGGTGCAGAATAAAGTTAGCTTTGGAAAGCATCTGAGGACGGTGTGCTATCGTCCCCAGCGGGCACATCACTCAATAGCCGGAGCAATGCAGCCCGTGGCGGCTTGGACAACT